GCTCTCTGCTCAGCGGGGAGCCTGCTTCCCCCTCCCTCTCTGCCTTTCTGCCTACTTGTGATCTCTCTCTCTGTGTCAAATAAATAAAATCTTTTTTTTTTTAAGATTTTATTTATTTATTTGACAGACAGATCACAAGTAGGCAGAGAAGCAGGCAGAGAGAGAGAGGAGGAAGCAGGCTCCCTGCCTAGCAGAGAGCCAGATGCGGGGCTCGATTCCAGGACCCTGGGATCATGACCTGAGCCGAAGGCAGAGGCTTTCACCCACTGAGCAACCCAGGCGCCCCAAATAAATAAAATCTTAAAAAAAAAAAAAAAAGAATAGTTGATGTGATTGAGTAGGACACTTTGGGTGTCATTTTTGTACTTGTAGAGTTTCAACAAAGTTTTGCTTGTTTTTGTGTTTTAGAAACAGCCCCTGTTCAATTGGAAGGTATTTTATAGAAGAGACTTTTTTTTGTAAATGCAGAAAGCTCATTTAATTTGCTTCACAAAAGCATAACAGATGTTGTATCTCTTCTGCAACTATGTAGAGACAAACTGGGAAATAGAGGAACACTTAACTGCAAGAGCTGAAAAACAAAACAAAACAAAACAAAACCCTCTACTCAACAAAGTTGTAATGGCAACCAACAAACCATTAAAGACATAGAGTCGCAAACATAGCTAAGTATGGGCACAGAATGGGTCATGGGGGTGAGCAGCTGCATCTCACTGCACAGCATCATGGACAGGGTGGGATGGGGGGAGGAGGCCTGGAGGGACCGGCTGACATGTTAACTGTGATGCACAGAACTGAATCTTGCAGCAGGATAGAAGATACAAGTCTTCACCCCTCACAGGTCTTTTTCTGTCCTGGTAGTTCATGCTTCGGTCTGCACCATGTGATGACTGGTAGGAGTGGGGAGGACCTGAGCTGTGCCTAGAAGGGCAGACAGGAAGAGTCCCCACCCCCTGCCTTTCCAAGTAGGAAAGCCCAGCCTGGAGTGAGGGAGCTGTTGGTAGGCCGGTCTGACCTGGAGGTGGAAGGCTGTGAAGGGATGAGACGGCACAATCTGTGACCAGTTTATAAACTGTCTTTATAAGAGGAGCCTAGGCTTTGTCTCAGAGACAACATGGAGCCCTGGAAGTTTCTACAAATGACAAATATGTAAGAAGTGCACACTTCTTTAGAAAATCTAGTCTGCCAGCCAGCCATTTGGTGAAATGAGCAGCTAGAAGACTGGTCAAGGTGATGTTGCAATTAT